CCGCATCCCACAAACCCCTCTCACGCCGTATTCTGGTTGTGTTGGATGACCCAGGGGCTTGCCCAAGCTGAATCTCCCCGAATACGAACACTTCGAAGTCCGCAGACAAGTTGCTGAAGTTGACGAGCTAGCGGCTACAGCCAAGGCTTTACAAGCCCTGCCATCTTCGGATTTTCCGATTCCTCAATCAAAGCAGAATGACAAGCTATGGTGTCAGAATCTATCCTCACACACTCCCGGGAGAAGATGCAGCGACCCGCATCAGCAATGCACAGCACACGTCCTTGCTCCTCAGAAGCTCGTCGATGCCTCAAGGAGCGATCGATCTCAGAAGTGCATGAACAAAGCGTGTTCGTCGACCCCCTCACATCAGCCGTCCACCGCAACACCACAGCTTTTGTCATAGCTTGAAGTCTCTCTATTTTTTCTTGGCACAACGGCACGACGGGAAAACAAACACGACAAATCACACCCTTGGACGATGCCGGCCACAGCCCGGAAACCGCGGATCAGGATCGAGGCACACGGGCCATGACATGTGTTCACAAATATGAACCAGGATGTAGAGCTTCAACAATGCGATCACCGGACCACGAGCCTGAATGTCCATCGTTGATCACAGACCTTCTCGCTGAGCGGCACCTTCGAGCACTTGCTTTGTTTCCGGAAGTGTGACGGGAGCATCTTCAAGCACAACTCCAAAAAAATGCCGGATTCTTGAAAGACATCTTGGCGAGGAATGATAGCCACAATTGAAGGTCATTGGAGCCAGTTTCCCCTTGATTGCCCTCAGCCCCATTGACTTGGGCCTGGTGCGGACAGGCGGCAGTCTCTCCATCGCAGGTAAAACTGCGGCAGCATGTGATGCTTCAGGGATTGTGCATTCTCGGGCTGAAGGGCAAAGGCGGCCGAAGCTTCAGGTGGATCAGGGCTGGAGAAGAGAAGCCCAGCTCTCCATGCAGGCCGGCAAGACGTGGTGGAAGCGTCCGTGGACGAACAGAACTTGTTCGGATGCCGTTCGCGACTGCTGGTGTGATTCTTTTGGGGTGCAAAAGTGAGAATTCCAAATGACAGTACATTACAGTATGAGACATGCTGTCATTATACAGATTCTGCTGTCCTGTCGGGATGTGGATTTCATCTGGTTCACGTCTCCGCTAGGGTATGCTTCTTGAAAAGGTGCGCTGCCAGAGAGTGCTTGCCGATCCGTTCAGAAGTCCAGCAGGGGAATTCGGGTGGGTTTCCAATACCCGCAACCTGTCACAAGCGCAGTGGTGATTGCCACCTTGAACTCAACGTTCCGAACACTGGCACTTCAACTCAGTCTGTTCTCGCTTCAAAGGTTAAGTCTGCAAACACGCTCAGCTCGCCAAGCTTCTCTTCAGACCCCTGCGCACAAGCGCTGCTGCAGCTTGCTGAAGCCCTCAAGCATTCGACACAGTTTCTCCTATGTACGGGTAGTCTCGCACAGCGTGGAAGAAAACCCGACGGGCGTTCAAGCTATCGCAGATGCGTCGTCACACCGGCAATTGAACAAGCGGCGTGGGGCTTGTGAGGTACTGAGAAGTACAAAACCTCATGCGAACAGCCTCTCTTTCTGACGGAAAGAAAGAGATGCCGCTTTTTGCGGCGAGCTGCTGCAGACGAGGACGTCTCATGGTAGCTTCGCCTGGTCCACTCAAGCCTCGCAGAAGGAATGCTCAAGGCCGTGGGTTGCCGTTCTTTGCGTATGGTTTGATTGCGGTACTGAGCTGATCCAAACACCGCAGGTCTCGCAGCTTGAGCCTTGCCCTCAGGCTCGTGCGATTGCAGACCGAGGATATGACAGATCAACATCAAAACGGAATGCATCAACATAATTTGGTCTGATTTTGTCTTGTGGGCAAGGTTGGGGACTGGGCTGGGGGTCCTCAGGTTCGTTTAGACTCCACACGCCGCCCACGCTGTTTTTCCTGCGCCCAGCGCTCGAGCAGCTGGTCCGACTTCTACTATGTAAATCGATGAGGGCAATGCAGCGGAGTGACAGAACGGTTCTTCCTTGGACGATGGCAGTGCAGACGAAACATGTGAGACATACAAAAGCTCCATCCGGCAGACAAAAGCGGGCAGCTTACGGCCCTGCTGCTTGGATAGACTGTACAGAAGCCTCTCCGCCTCAAATCTTGCCATTCTGCGTCCTCCCTGCTCCGCATGCCCTTCCAGAGCCTCGCAGCCAGGCGCAAGATTGAGAACTAATTTGAATCAAACGCAACCACTACATGAGCCGCGGAAAATCCTTCAGTGGCCTCGCCACCTGAATGCTTCTACTGAAGACCTGGATTGCTGTTTCGAGTTTTCGGCTTGCTTGAGTAAACAATACGAAAGAGAAGAGCCCAAAGGTTCGGCGCTCGCACTCGGAGAAGCCAGGCGAGGTTATTGCTGCGTAGTTGGATGAGGCGAAGCATTTCAAAGAGTCCCAGTTTCAGAAACGAGCCCAGACGGTTAGGGTCGCCGTCCACAGGCTTCTCGCGGGCTTTGCAAGACTACTCAGCTTGGCACATTTACGCAAACTGCAACATTGCCTCTAGCATCGGCGCATGATCCAAATTTTGGGGGCCCCCGGCACTGAACGAGCTCTACATCCGGAGGATCTGTCAATCCTTGAAAAGCTTCGCACACACACACACACACACCGACACCTTTCCAGCACAAGAGTCCTGATTTGGTGAAACCATTTCGGAGGGCTAGTCCAGTGTGTTGTATACGAACCTCTCTGCATATTTCTGCCACGAGGCTGGAGGTGTGCGCCTATCGTCGTGTACTTTCTGCGGTAAGGGCCCGCAACACAAACCCTCGTCGCTACACTTGCACATGCTGCACTCTTAGCCAATCTGAAGCTGCAAGCCTTCGCTTCGACACCGCAACCCCAAAACCAACCCGAATTTTCGCCCTCGGCCTCAGCCGGCTGTCAGCCTTTTGCCGAGCTCTCTCCCGCTCACAGCCTGGGGCGCGCGAGTAGAAAAACCCGAACTCGCTGCAAATCGAAAGCGAAAGGCTATGCAAATCTAGAACGGTCCGCAAAAGATTGACTGCTCAAGACCAAGTTTCTCCATGCACTGAGGGTCCGCGGCTGTTACGGCGCTGCCGAAGTAGTCGCCGATGCACCTGGCATGAGCGAGCAGAGCTGTCATACTGGTGATTTGCACGGCATACCGTTGCGGGAGGAGCGAACTATCCGGATCGTTGATGCCAGCACGAGTTGTTGCTCGACTGCTACTGTCGCGAATGCATGTAGACACGAAGGTCGCGAGAGGCAGCCGGAAACAGAGCAGAGCGGCATCGAAACAGACGGGGCTAGCCACAGACAGACACAAGGGGACAGACCGTGCAGCGCTGGACGAACAAGGCATGGGAGCCCTGTGATTCTAGTTACTAGTTTGGGCCAAGAACCATTCCAAACAGGAAAGCAAAAACAAAAGTGAGTATCAAAGACGATCGTGAAGCAACGAAACCTCAACTGCATTGCGCAAATGTGCAGTCTTCCGGTTGTCAACTTCCCTGCTGCGCTCAGTTGATGCTGCGAAGCTTTGCTCTGCCTGAACCCCCGTCCGCCCACAACTGTGGAGCCTCAGGTAGCCAGCTGATCCCCCAGCCTATGTTGAAAGCCCAATGCACCTTGGACCTGGGCATCGAAACCTTCCGACACAAGGCCTTTGGTGTCTTGATGGCGTGCACCCCGGCCAGGATCGTCTGCGAGCAAGGTTTGTTCACGTGTCTTGCTGTGAACACGGCTGCTTAGAGAGATCGAAAAGGCGGGTCGGCATGGATCACCAGCGTTCGACTTCGGACGTCATGTGAACAAGAACCGGGGCTTCAGATGGCTACCGAAGGCCAACCCGGAACCCAGCTTTTTGATGCTTTTTGTCTGCACGATGCCACAAAGCCTTACAAGGCTGCAAGACTACGCGAACGCCCAGCCTTTGTGCAACCCTTGGGAGCCGCCTGCGACGTCGCCTGTCGCGTTGTGGGAGTTGGGCCGGGGTCTTGGACTTTTCTTGCCTTACACCTAGCTCGGACGAGCCCGCATTGCAGGGTTTCGTCAGACAGCATTCTGGAAGGAGCACGGCTGCCAGTCTTTGCAGCAGGACTTGACTGACTAGACCTCATGCTTCGCTTGCTTGTTGGTGCACTGCTGATGAAGAACTTCTGACTCTGCGGTGGCTTTGCAGCCGTCTCACCCTGCACAGGCCCAACCCCAACATCTGTTTTCAGTGGAAGACGACACTGAACCTCCCTCACAGCCACCACAAGCAAGCGCACGGTGCCTCCGCGACGGACGGCAGTGTGCATGGAGACGTTCGCGGATGTCCCACACATCGACCGCTGCGATCTGAGCGCGCATCTCGAGACGTGACTTGAATCTGCTGGGGTGCTGGTGCTCCTTGAGATTACAGGGGAACCCGATACTTTAAGATCTCAAGATACTCCTTCGCCTGCCCATGCTTACGAAAACGGCAGCGCATCGCAGCTGGGGCTTCGGCGCTGTGGTGGGCGGATTCGTCGAACCTCGGGTGCCGTGGCGTGTTGGAGAGGCCATTGCTGAGTGCCGTCGCAATCGTTTGCCGATTCCTTTACATGGCCATGGCAGTGAATGCATGCTGGAATAGGATTGCAACTACAAGTGTCCCCCTTCAATGCGAAGTTGGAAGTCAGTCGACACAGTCGAGTCAAGTGCACAGCCTTTGGGATACCCCCAGGTCGAGCGACGTACCGATACCTTCACTTACACACACACACACACACACACACACGAGCAGAGAGAGAGAGAGAGACTTGCAAATGCATGCGCGGCCCTCGCACACGCGGACAATGTCTTAACCCCGATGGAAACACATTTGCTCGCCAAAGACCTGTCGAAATCGAAGTCTCGTTAGAGCCTGGAGACCAAATCTTCATCGATGTCGCGAAGTTCAGAGCGCGCTTCGCGGCCATTTCCTCGGAAGCTTTGCGCCGAGAAGGGGTCAACGTCGGTGAGTCGGTGAGTGCCTACAAGCCTGGGCAGGCGCTCGTGATCCCTTGAGCCAGGAGACCTCGAACTTGATCCTAAAGAAGACCGTGTTCGGTGTCCCACAGAAATCCAAATCGGAATCACAGGCACCCAGGAAGCCCTGCATCCACCAAGAGACGTAGTTGGCCCCAAAGAATCGAACAGGATCGAGGCCTCAGGAGGCAAATGAGCTCGTCTCTCTGCAGCTTTTTGCGTTCTCGTCTCTGCCCAGAACATCCTAAACTAGCAGTTCGGGATTTGAGACACTGCAAGCTGTCGACTTCGGAGTCTTGTCTCTGTGTGCTCTGCATGTCCAAATTTATTGGTAAGTCTTAAATGCTGTATCAAAACATCTGACCTATGCCTCTGTTCTGGGTCAGCTCAGTCGCCGAACTCTTTTCTCACAAACTTCATCGGACTGATAAACTCCATCGCGACCGCCAGAAGCCGCACGCGAGGCCTGGGTCTCGAAAGAGAAGATACAGGCTGACGAAGCTTGAGTGAAGACTCTGCTTGAACACTTTCACAGAGGTGTCAACTTTTCCAGTTGTATCGGGTGGTAGATCTACCTGGCCAAGCTATACTGCAGCCATACACATCATTCGCCGTTCTCGCTTACGTACAGCTCGCATCGGTTCCCAGAGAAACTGGACTTAAGGCCGTTGCTTAAGGCCGTTGTGTCACGTGAGAAGCAAGTTGAGCTAGATTCAGGCGCGGCTGGGTACAGAGGGTTGACAGGCTCGCGGCTTAGGGTAGATAGCTTGCACCCAGCACGTGCTCACATTGCCCAGGTGCCGAGTCTGGGCAACGAACTCCCAGTCAAACTCATCGTGCGCAGGCTTCGAAGCCCTGGGTAAATTTCGCGGTGTGTTGTCCCCTGTTGAGATTCAAAGCTGCATAAGCCCTCCGAGGCACCGATCATCCAACGTGCATATACCACGCAGGCGTATTCCAGCAGCCTGGACAGCAACATGAGCTGAACAGGTACTGCGGCAATCTAAACCCCTTAGGCACACCACCAACTTGAGGAGAGTCTAGTCCGCATGTTGCGAAGGATGACGGGTTCGGTTGGCACCTCCCCTACTGCTGGCCAGCACAAGCTAGCGATTGAAAACGGCCTGCTTGCTAGCGCTTCTTAAATCCTAGCTTCTGCCCTGTTGCATCAGACGGTGGACGGTGACCCCATCCCGCTGCAAACTGTGAGAAACAACATTTTGGCACTCGGTACACTTCTCGATTTGTGCATGTCATCCTTGCGCAGGGGCNNTGTATCGTTCCAATTTTATCGGATGATCCCCGGATTCCCTAGAAACAACATACAATATGTTATGATTCATGCCAACTCGAAAAAAGAACCGTGATCACACAAATGATGACTTTCCAACCTGCCGAACGGCACTTATCGCCGTGACTCGGTTTCCCATCCCAGATCGACACACACAGCCCTTCACGCCTACTAATATCGCTACATGTAACCTCGATACGAGACCCGCCTACGATCGCCGAACCATGCCGTGCCTCCAACTGGCGAGAAGCATGGCATGCGAAGTGATTGCCAAAGCTCCTTGCAGCATTCAAGATCCCAACGTTCATGAGGTGATTCCGCTTTGTCGAATTGGGACTCAGGGTCGCGGTGTGGGCAGTCACCCACGCATCGCTGTGTGTCTCGGGAGTTCTCGGGGCAACTCTGTTCTTACGCCCGGGCTACATGCAAACTCTATAGGATGCAAAGTCGTTCCGTCATCTCATTCCCGATGAGTCCCGATGTGTCTGTCATCTAGAGCGTCGTGCAATCGATCTCGCCGTGTTCCCTCCAGAATGATGGTTATACGCTGATGGCGGAGGGGAACTACAAAAGGCGCAGGCTGAAGCACCCTTCGGAGGATGCACGACAAACACGAAGACGAAGCCGAAACGTCTCCGAGTTCCCGTCAAGGCAAACCATGTTGAAGAAACACTAAGTCAATGCCCTGAGATGCAGAGTGCAATTCGTACGCCGTACGAAAGAATAACGTAAGATGTCGAACGCTTACGCGCCGCTTGTGGCTGGCACCATATCATGCAGGCCTTGCTAGATTCAGCAAAGCCCCTACCACCCACAGGTGAAGTGAGGCGGTGACAAACAGCGCCAAGTTGCCAGCCCACAATCACGAGCTCAGATATGTCGTAGCACCTTGCTGCAATCTGGAACTAAGCCTCAACTGTGACAGCCTGTCCCTCTGCAAGAAATCGTCAATGCCATGCCCGAGGCACGTCTCGCGAAGGAGGTATGCAAGCCAAGGGGTGGAAACCAGGTTCTGTGCGACGGACAGCAAGCCCTGGAGCCTAGCAGCGCAGGGGTGTTTCGGCATGTGGGCTATCTCAGCGACTGTAATTACAGCTAGCCTCACAGCTTACCACCACGGCTGGTGCTGCTGCAAGACGAGACCGGCCAAGAATGACACACCGAAGAAAGGCGGAGACGAGCTGTGTATCGATTTACCATTCAACCTCAAAGCCCCCTGCAAGGTTCCGAAGCCATGGGGCCGGATCTCGTCCGGTGGATCGACACTCCAGACTTGGTCTGCAGCGAGCACCCTGCCGAAAAGCGTGTTTCGAGAGCTGCACCGGGCGAGTCTTGGCATGGACTGTGGTTTTGCTTCTCCATCTGAACATGATGCGATGGTGCTCTGAATTGCAAACGCCACATCTCTGCGCACTGGGAACACGAGGAGGGCGTGGGTGAGAAGTGGGGTGACTTGACGAACCCAGTTCTGAATCATAGCTTATCCAACTCCAAAGCTGCCAAGAAAGGAAGACGGTCTGCCATCCTAACACCAAATCCACCCCCATCTGAGCCCAGCACAGTGCCAGATTGTGGAACCCAACGTTCCGGTCGCTCATCCGCGTCGCCCCGCCGAAACCACAAACCGCACACCTTGCAGGTATGGTGTTACCAACAAGCACGCGGTCCAGGAGTCCTCTATTGCGGCTTTACTGGGGTCCCATGAATCACCACATGAAGAAACTCCTTGGGCGGTTCGGCGGGCTTCGGTATGCGCGTGCGGTTATGCCTTCCCAGGGGGTTTCTGGTTTCCCTGCCTAAGATTTAAGAAGTGTTGTTGGCTGCGGCCAAAAAAGCGGCGGCGGCAGAACCTCAACCCACATGGATAATCCAGTATTCGAACAAGAAACCGAGTCTCGCCGGCTGCAAATACAGAGCTGGGAACGAACACTGCTGTCGAGCGTGCATTGTGCCAAAACCACAGACCCATTTGTTGCAAGTGTTGCTACACTTCTGGTCACCACTGACAGGTGATCATCTGGAGGGATGCCGAGGCATCTTGAAGTTTGCGTTGTACACTCACGCCATTCGTGCACGTTCTGCTTAGCTGTTTGGGCCAAGTTCAAAACGCAAATGGGAGCAGTGCGCAGCTTGGAAAAGAAAACACCGCTCTTGCCAGAGGTTATCGCCCTGGGCCTGACGCAGTCGTATTCACGAAACGCTTGCATGCTGCCTTTGTTTCCTGCCGAGGCAATATGTTCGCGCACAAGAACGCATCCATAACCCATCGATCCGCAGGTTCGAGGGGCCACTCGCGCCAGGTTGCTGGGAAATCGAACTTTCCAAGTCGCAGCCGTCCCCTATATAGACGACTCTCCGTCTTTCTGTCTGCCTCTCGCTCTCGTCTGTCTCTCGTCCCTCTCTTTCTTTGTGCGGGCCTGAGGAAGGGGTCTCCCCCTTCGCCTGCGCGTCAGCGCACCCCTGTTTTGGAGTGGAGCTAACGGGGAAGCAGGGTGGCCTACTGCCCCAGCTTAAGGAGGAGAGTAAGTTCCAGCAACATGATTTAAGGGGTACATCATACTCAGCTAAGTTAAGCAGGTCTTCCCACCGCTTTGTTCGGCTGTGCTGCAGTTCTCCTCGTTGAAAAGACAAAGCAAGGTTGCAAAGCTCCATGCCACGACTTTCGTCTGTCTCTCTCTTTCTTTCGCCAGGGCTGTGGTGCAGGGGGAGACCCCCTGTCTCTCTCTCTCTCTCTCTCTCGCTCTATCGCTCTCTCTTGCTTTTTCCTCTCTTCTCCTCCCAGGTTTATGGGGCGAGTCAAGCCCCCTGTCGTTCCAGTTTGCCCCATATGACTCCCGACGGACGAAACAGCTCCACTATGCCTCATGCATCTTGAGATTCTCGACATTGATCTTCTACATGGAGTCTGCGCGCTTCTGTACCGGACAGGTATTTGCGGCATGTGGCGGGTAGAAACTCAGCCAGCTAGGGAGCATAGACCGACATGCGCTGACTCCCCAGTGCCGCCCTGCCTGGAAGTTTGCAAAGAAGATGGCGCAGGCGCAGGATGCGCAGGCTGGTTCGTGCAGTCCCTCGGAGGCGTCAGGGGGATGGTCGGGGCAAATGGCTGCCCGCAGCCAAAGCGGATGAAGTGGCAGGGGCGGCACCAGTTCTCGAAGCCCGAGAGGTTTTCAAAGATTGGTGGAATCCTTGGATGAGTTCCGGAGCTCTCCCTTCGGCAGAGCCACGCTGGGGTAAACATGGGCAAAGAACGCAAGGGCGCGCTGCGTGCAGAACTCGGTGTGGGAGAGGGGTGACACTCAGGCCGAAGCATGCAGGCGAACATGCGACTTGCAGTTGCAAGAGGTCGGGGGAATTTTGCGCACAGCTTGCGGCCGAGCATGGAAGGCGCAGCAGAGCAATGGAAAATTATGCGAACCTTCAGCGGCTGGCGCAGAAGTGAGGAATCTGAGAGTTCCATAGGCGCCAACATAAGGCAGCCCGTGTGGCCCTGACGGCGACCCCGAGCAACTTTCTGGAGTCCGGCTTTGTGCAGCTGCTGCTGTGGCGAAGTGGTCTCACACAAATTTCTTCGAAGAGCCGTGCACCTTGGCCTACAAAGAGCATGACACGTCCGGATGAAGAATACCACCGGAACCCAAGTCTTGTGCTTGATTTGGTTCACCCTGGAAGCGTGCCGGATTTCATAAGGCCTGTATCCGGGTATGCGGGACTGACATCGGCATGGGTGGTGGAGTGGCTGATGGATGCCAGGGCACCTGCTGCAAAACAGCACCTGGCAGCAGCAACTTGGCGAGCTGCGCTCTCGGTGATTCCATTTGGGGTCTCTCTGTGTCCGTTCGGAAGCGGGGTCTCGCTATGTCCGTTCGGAAGCGGCGTCCCGCTATGTCCGTTCGGAAGCTGGTGTCCCGATTCCGTACTTGATGTTCTCTTAAGATTGGCCACAAATGCTGATGGGTTGCTCGATGATGCCACTCGGATCGGCTGGACGCTATGACCCGGGGGGTCAGAGCCTTGATGGATAGATTGAACGGACGTCTGGATTAAATTCCGGCACTGGTGCGCGGAACAGAACAAGCATGAAAAGGCGCCAGGAATGAAGGCAGCCAGTAATGACTAGGGCATGAAAGCGCGATGTTTTGCAATCCGCAGGAAAGCAAGTTGGAGGTTCTCTGATGCGCGAACTCCAGGATCAAGTCGTCGGAATACAGGCACCTAGGCCTAGGCCTGCAAAAGCTAAGATGGCGGGTGGCACCCACGAGAACCTTCTGTTCACAGTCAAGCCTTGACGGCTGCAAGTTGGCGCAAAGAAGAAGAGACCTAAGATCGTCGTGGCTCAGTGGCTCCGGGATTCTGACGTTCTCGACCCCAGGCTGTAGGTCCCGCAGCTGATTGCAAGAACCGCCCACTTGACAGGCTCGGATCGAGCTGCAAACAGAAGATCGAAGACATGCAGAATGCCTGATTCTTGGCTTGGTTGGCACTGACCGCGACAGATTGGCTGGTGCTGGGGAGCACATGCTCAAGCTTAGCGAAGGTCGGCCTCTTTCACAGGAACTTCGACTGAGAAGTACTTCGCTGCCTGCGATCCTTCCAGGCACGGCATAGCTGGCATGGCAAGGTCACTCCGTGCTGCCAGCGAGGACTTCGAAACAAGTCGGGATGCTGCTCCACGGTGAGGGAACGAAGGTGATGATAGGACCAAGCCCGGTGCAGTCAGGCTTGCCTCGGTTGCAGGAGCACCTTTAAGCCTTTCCACACCTCATGTAGCCTAAGTGGCCGAAGCCTTCTCGCCTCGTCCTCGGGGGCGCGCCGGCGCACTGTAGGAAGAGCTTCTCCATGCTCAAGAAGGAGACAGGCTCAGGCTCCCGAAGGTCCCGGCGATTTCGGGGGGCACCAGCAACAGGAGCGTGCACCACACCTGCAGCCACACTCACGGCACTTCGCCGCACGGCTGTGGAAACGGGCTGGGTCCATGCAACTGCTGAGAGCGTGGGCCTTCTGGGGGGCAGGGTGTCTGTCCTGAGCGGCTGCACTTCGGCCCTCGACCTCGACATGATGTCCACAAATAGGAGGAGCAGCGCTTGGACAGCGCAGCTGGTGGATGTGCTGAAGATGCACTTCGGCACATCCACATAGTTCGTCATCACGGAGCCTGGCGTAAGATGTTCCTCCTTCGGGACACTAATTACCTGGCACGCTCCCGAAAGCCATGCACGATCGCAGGCTTGACTCTCAGGAATTCTCGTTTGGAGCATCGCAGCTTGGCGGCGTTCATCTTCCTCAGGTGTCTCAGTGTGTTGCGTCGACGAGACAAGCTTATGGCAGGACCGGGCTGCGCTTCCCAGCCAGAGTTGTGACGGCCTCGCCCCGAACCTTGCAGAACCTGTGAACACCCAGCAGAGACTCTGCAACATCTAAACGAGAGAACAGCTTGAGCTACAGCTACCGTAGCTATCGCTTGGAGATCTTACTGGTGAGCTTGTCTCGTCTATAGCTTTTGCAAAGACCCGGAGTGTCGTGAGATCTTGGCCTGGGCACGAAACGCAGCAGGCTGAAAGGCGGAAGCCCAAAACCACCTCCAAACGTTTATGCGGGAGGCCCAGGATGCCGACCGATGCGTGGAGCACAGCAAGTCAGCCAAATGAGACATGCGAAGCAGTCGCAGCAAAGGTGACGTGGCCCGAAGTCGCGGGCCTACAGAAGGGCCAGCTGCACTCCGCTTCGTGCCTACGGGCATCGAGCCCTGCAGAATGGGAGGCCAAACCAACCCGCTGGTGCTGTACGTGCAAAGGCGCCCTGTCGTTCGGTGGAGTGCTCTTGACTGCGATTCACAAGGACCACCTTCAGCCGAGGTGCGGAACAGCTCCGCGGCTTACAGGCCTGACTTGGAAGATTGCAGTCGCAACACTTGCAAAATGCAACATCAGATTCTGTCAGACTTCCTGACCGCGCAAAGCCTGCAAGTTTTCGAGAAGCCAGGGATGCAGCAAACGAGCCCTGGGGATGGGAACAGGCAACTGCGTGGAAAGTGCCTTCCGCAATGCGAGGAATGGCAAATGCAGCCGCGTTCGTGTTCAGGTCATGCGACATGCGACGAGGTGCTCGTCTTGTTTCCAGGAGAAGCGGAGCAGTGTTGAGTAGTCTCGGCTGTGGCTCGGGCTGCCGTGAGACGGGGACAGCTTGCCTCATCTTCGCACATCTGCAAGCAGCATACACATGCTGGGCATTTCGCCTGGGCGACATGTGGTCCAGCTCAAATCATGACACCATGCTGGGCGTCAACAGATAGCCGGGCGTGTAGAGCGTCATGTTAGTGCTGCCTGTCCTGGATCTCTCGGCAGCTGTCATGATTCTGAGGGCTTGGGTAAGTTGGGGGACTGGATACTCTCGAGCTGACTTCACCTTCGTCAGGTGCCACAGGTCTCTAATCCTGGCATCCAAGCTTTTGCGAAGGGCTGCGTCCGAAAGAAAGCTGGGCCGTTCATGGGACCTTTTGTTGAGTGACACGGCGCAAGGCAGATGTGCATTGGCTGGCCTACGAACCCGCAACGGTCATCTCCACAAGAAGGCTCACATCTATGCTGCGGGTAGTGCATGCAGCTCTTCACAAGTGCCACATCCACGCGCTCTTCAGCACTTGCACGGATCATGAGAGGTCCCGTGGCATGTTGCATGCTCAGCCGGCTCGCTAGCGCTCGGCGACCGAGGGAAGCAACTTCAGCTTCTTCGCGAACCCTGACACAGCCTGGAGCCGGCGGCTGCCGCAGCGCGCTTGAAAGTCCTCGCCTTGTCAGAGGCCGATGCCAGGACCTTCCCGGGCTTTGGAAAGAACGAGGAAGAGCTTCTCTAGCAATGAGATGGCTACTCGGTAGCGAGGGGCGACCGGGATGCTTCGTGTCCTTGCTGTCTGATCTTCGTCGCGGCTGCTGGGCGTCTGGATGGCCAGCTTGCCGGCTACACGGCAGCACGTGCTTGAGCAGGTGTTTCACAAGCAAGTTCCATTAAATGTATCTCAACGTACCGGTAGCCTGCATCTTCCGGAAGTGTCCAAGAAGTGGAACGCTCGAAGGTAGCAGGTGTCTTCCGGCTGATGATAACCCCCGAATCCTTGCTTGCTGCAGGCAGCAGGAGGATCCGAAGCTTCCAGAAGCAACGGACTACTTGGCAGAAGGCACGTGACTGGTTGTGGGTGTGCTGGATCCCCGGACTAGGGCCATATCACAGCCAAGAGACAGGCCTGGGCGGGGCATCAATGCTACACCGACGGAACAGCATAACGTGGTGCTGACTTGTCCCACTGCCCACCTCCACCTTGCACTGATGGCAAGTCTCAGTGAGAGTGCTGGCACCGACCCGCCTTGCTGCCACACCTCTTCAGCCCTGCACTGCGTCTCAAGTCATCCGTCTGCTTGGGATGGTCAACCCGCCTAGCCGCCTAGCGAGAGACGGGTAGCTCCGAAGACTAAGGCCTGCTTCGATGCGGGCGCGCGGCTCCGTTTGGCCGTATGTTCTGGAGCTAAGTGCATGCATGCGAGGGCAAAAAGCTGCACGTGGTGCTGCTATTCTGAGGAATGCAGGGTGCATTCCGCACGGCCACATGCCAACGGCAACTGCAGCTGAGGGCAATGCCAGGTTAACCGTTACAGCGCAGCCAGCCCAATAGCACCAGCAGTCCCTGAATTTGAACATGACATCGCCGATGCGTGGACTTTGCCAACTGCGCAGACGCAGGCAAACGCATGGATCGCTGTGCCATGACTGTGCCTCTCGATGAAACTGCGCAGTTACACCGGAGAGTGGTGCATGGCGCAGCACCTGGGAAGGCAAGACGTCGCAACACACTGCAATAAGGCAAAGCTTCAGGGGCGAAAGCGGCAGTGAGAGACAATTTGGAAAACATGCGCAGGAAAGATGAAGGAAGCAGATTCGTCACCTTGATTCTTGCGCCTATGCGAGGGTCAAGTGGAGCCTGGCCGACTTGGGAGCGCAGCTGTGCAATGCTGCAGGGCAGCAAGAGGGTCCGTATTTGATGTTTGGAAGCTCGCTCCACTGTTCTGCTCGCTAGCATGCAGCGAGAACCCAAGCCCGAGTACGAGCACGGCACCCGCAGCATCGTTTGCACATTGGTTTGTTGAGAGCCTGGGCTAGCCCAATCCAGGTGTGTAGAGAACAGGGATTTAGGAGTCCAAATCTAAAGCTCTGGAAATCCTCTTCCAAAGCAGTCTATCGTCGCTCCGC